GACTTCAGGAGGTGGTAGATGATCAAAGCTCACTGGCAACAAAGTGCTGGAATTTAGAACGTGAGCTGCGTGAGGCAAAAGAGGCACGGGAGACTGTTGACCCCATGTCGATTGCCATCAAGCCAGATGATGAAGCGTGGAGGAGGGAGACACAGACGAGGCAGGGGAGCCAGGAGAGCCATGAACACTTGTTGGCAAGGTGCCAGCATGCAGAGAAGGAGTTGAGTGATACCAGTACAGCACTGGAAGTCCTACTAGAAGAAAAGTCAAAAAGAATCGAAGACCAGGAGCATTTGGTGGATCGCCGGCTTGTCACGTCCATGTTGGCCTTGTATCACGATCATGTGTCTTCTGGGCAACGTGCCTTGGCAGACCAGGTCTTGACTCAGGCACTTCATATTTTAGGAGGGGTGCCAGAAGAGACACAGAGAAGCCGCCAGCAACTGAAAGAAGCAGCAGCTGCAGCGGAAGCACGGCTGGCGGAACCTTTGGGCAATGCATTTCTCGATTTCCTGGAGAAAGAGACTGAATTGGAAATGGGACATGCCGGACCTGTCGGACATGCACCCACTCAAACGCATCCAACACCCACAGTGCCAGGCGGCAAGAATCCGCCTGCTCCTAACGGCAGTGCCTCGCTCACTGTATCCAATCAGCTTCATCAGCTACCGCCAGTTGCCCCTCCGCAAGTTCCACTTCCTTCTCTGAAGTGACTCGGTTGGTCTTGCAAACAGAGGAACAGCGCCGTGCTTGGCTGCAATCATCAATGCTCGAAGCACCTTCTTGTAGAGATATGTGCATGCAAGAGGTGACAACCGTGCGTCCAGCAACAAAGAGTGTGCAGCCTACATTTTTACATGTTGATAGCTTTTGCCTGCTGCATCAACAAAGTTGCGGAATCGAAGCATGCCCGGCACTGGCTGTGAAAATGTGAAATCCAACAGGAATTGGCGTGGCATGTGTACCAGCCGAACTTGGTGACGCCCCTAGTTGAATTGTGTTGAACTGGCGATAGCTCTATATAACTTGCTTGCCACTTTGTGCCCAGATGCTGGTGGGAATCTGACATCAATCTGACTGGCTGCGGTCATGCTTTCTAACTTCCCTGTTGACGTTGCATGCTGCTTTTGCGCTCGCTTCGTGCTTTCCTTTAGCCTAAATGCAGATCTGCAAGGCCTGCTGTCAGCACTGGCGGGAGGTGACTGGGCATCACATTCAGATCATACTGAGACGAAGCGTTCGCTGGCACTGCGCGCTAGGCAAGCCCGGGCCGCCAAAGACCTTGAACACAAGGCTGGACACTCCGCAGGACAAGTGCCTATATGGTGCGGATTTATATCTAGCTACCGACCAAAATGCATACCCACACTCGCACATACTCACACATATATCATCATACATCATGTACATCATGTACATCATCTACACGTGTACACATATATGTGGGTCTAATTCTTTATATAGTGCTTGTTGTTTGTTGCTTATCTATTTATGGATTTGCCAACGGAACTGTAATGCATAACAGTATGTTTTCCAGCCGTTTTGTATTTCTGCACGTGTCTCGTTTACATTTTGCTTGTTGTGTCACAAGTTCACCATTCCCAGCGACCTGTGCAGGCCAAAGCAATGGAACCAATTCCTGGCCAGGACGCCCAGGGCAACATGGAGCTCTCCACGGGGAGAGCTTCACAAAACTCCAGTGCTGTCCGATGCTATTTGTGTTTGCACCAATTCCAGGCTTGATGGTGCTTCAATCATGTTCAACATATTTCAACATCATGTTCTATTTGATCCTATGTGAGGCTTGATGTCGACCAAATGATCCGGGCAATGCCAGATGCGTTTCATATAAAGCTGAAATGCTTTGTAATGTGGCTGCCGGCGCATGCTAAGCTGCATAGCCAGGGCACGTAGCTTGTGCAGCTGATTGTGGATGGAATGAAACCATGCGTGTTTCAATGACTTTCACATGCGTTGGGATACAGGTGGTCCAGCGGTTCGTCAGATGCATTTGCTGATGGCCCAGTCTACTCTTTATATCCTTTCAATCATTTCAATCCCCTTTCAACTGCTTCTGTAAGAAACACCCTTCAAGATCAGTCTCTTCCGTTTTGCGCGCATCCTGACGTCATGCATTTGTTTGTATGTGTGCCCTGCTCGTAAGGTATTTCTATGAGTTTGCGTTTCGCTTCAGTCTCTCAACGTCTCACATTGCATTTATGTTGGGGTAATTGTTTGACAGTTTGTAAAACGAATGCTGTGACACATTGTCTGTGTGACACGTTCTGGGGGGTGTGACGCTGCACTCGCTATGACCTTAGCTGTTTGCCGGGTTTGCCGCATGCTTCATTCACCAACCTGCAAGAGATAAAGGAGGCTATATGCTCAGTTGGAGGCACGTCATCAAACAGGACTAATTTGTGAAAGTTTGGCTGCGCCCTTTGCAGCAAAAATTCACTGGTTTGCCCTCCTTCTCCTCGTATATAGACTACAGCAGAGG